AGAGAGAGAAAAGCCCACTTTTATAAGGGGCTCAAAAGGGTCAAACACAATTACTGGCCGGCCATGTGATATTGGTGGCCTTCCAGGTGTGTACAACACAAATATGTGGTTTAGGGTTGGAAAAAGTGGCCTTAGGGTGGTCAATATTGGCTTTCAAGTGAGAAAAACGGGCGACGAAGGGCGATGGAGGAATAAAACTGGTTTTCAGAACAATTACTGGCCTCCCACCCTTCTACGACCTTCTTAACAATGAAACAGAGGTCCCTGCCAAAAATGAACCCAAACCGATGCAAAATGAAGGTTCGGGGGTCGAAACGCGCAGCCCGAGGCCCTCAAAACTGACTGTTAGGCACTGGAAGTGGTGTTCGACCACAAAGTTGGTTTCTCGAGCCACAGTGTCCCTCAAAAGGGAGCAAATAAGATGCATGCCAAAAATCGGAGCAAACGGAGGTGGTTAACAGTCCCGAACCGAGGCACACGGCCAACGGCTCCGAAAAACAAGAAACCAGACTCCAAACGGGCAAAATGGCCTACGACCACGAAACGTAGCCTACGGCCACTGAGAGATGATCTACGAGACCTCTCCCTCCCTTCGGGAAGAGAAAACAGAGAAAACAAAGCCTGGTTCACAAACCGAGGCAAAGCATGAAAGAGTCCAGAGGCAAGGCTCGCAGCCGAGACTCTGAAACCTCTAAACGAGCACGATATGCAACATCACCAAGCGCTCAATCGGTGACGTCTGAGTCTTAAGGTCAGTAAAAAATGGGGTGTCTACACTGATTACCGAAGGTAAAAAAATCTCCGTCCTTGCCCCCGATTCCTAGCGGGGATGCCATCACCCCCTTCGGCCCTACCCCTGCTCTCTAATGGGGATCGGGTTTCCTCGATCTTGAAAAATCTCCGACCTTTTTTTTTTAATTTTATTATTATTTATTTTTAATTTTGTTTAGCACAAGAACACCAAAAAAATTTAATCTGTTTTCAGTATGTTTCATCATTATCATCATTATCAACAATCATCATCAACAACAATCATCAACAACTTAAAAAAAAAAAGATTTGAAATTGTTCATTAACAACAGGCATCTGAGGGGACTCTTTCTTCATCTCAGAGCTCTCTCTTTCTCTGTCTGTCACTCTTTGTTTTTGAAGATCTGAATTTAAAGATCTGAAAACCCTAACTCTTGAAAACCTTAACTGTTGGCATATACAAGCTCTGAAATTGTTTATTTTGTTGCTGTTGTTGTTTTTGTTGTTGTTCATTACACACACACACGCACACACACATATGTATATATCAAATCTTAAAAAACCCTAAAAAAAAAAAAAAAAAACCAAATTAGATCTAAGAAAGCCTTAACAAAAAAATTTAGATATGAGTTGTTCTCACATATCAGATCAGAGAGAGAGAGAGAGAGAGAGAGAGTTTGATTACACTAGGTCGGATTAGAAACTGGAAGCTTTTCCGACCAAATGTTGTCGAACTCCGAACCCTTGTCAGTTGACTCATCCGCTAGATGTGTTCATCTACCGTTGTTGATGAGCCTTTGCAGTGGTGTAAAATCCTAACCCTAGGGCTTTGAGGGGACGATGGAGGAGGAGGTGAGTTGGAAAAGAAAATAGAGAAGTCAATGTTTTGGTGAGAAAGGAGAGAGATCGGTGGTGATGTGAGAGTTTTAGAAAGAGAGAGAGAGAAGAGAGGAGACAGTCTGAGAGGTTTGTGTATGAGGGTGCGTGAGGGTTTGGTTTATATATATATATATATACGGGTATAATAGTAATTTCACTTCCGGGGAAACGGGGACAGAGATGGGGACGGGCCGGGGTTGGGAAATGTCTCACCGTCCCCAAGCTGAAAATGGCCGGGAATCCATTTTCGAATACCATCCTCGGCCCATTAGGGGTATTTTTTGACAAAAAACCGTTTTAATCAGGGTCTAGAGGCTAGGTTCCTGTCAGATCGAGTTTAAATTACCATCTTTAAGAGCATCTCCAATGCAATACTCTCACTAAGAGGATGAAAATAATATTTTTTATTCAAAAAGTAAATATAGAGGAGGCTACTATTCATTCAAACTCCAACCACAAACCTTCATTTTCTTCATTCAAACTCTCACTAAGAGGATGAAAATAATGTTTTTTATTCAAAAAGTAAATATAGAGGAGGCTACTATTCATTCAAACTCCAACCACAAACCTTCATTTCCTTCATTCAAACTCTATTCAAAAAGTAATTTTTATTCATTAATAAATATTTAATTTTAAAATTTTTGTAAAATATATTTAATATTATACTCATTTTAAATGTATGATTTTATACTTTTTAATGATGTCAATTTTATAAAAATTAAATTTACAAATTAAAAGTTATTTGTAATATAATAAGAAATACAAAATGAATAGTGTTTTGGAGGGATCCTTCATTTTTTCATCCTCCCTTCAAATATGAAGGATGAACTCATTCTCCTCTCAAATGGAGATGAATTTGAAGGATGGATTGGAAGACCATCCGTCATATTTGAAGATATGAAAGATGGGTTGGAGATGCTCTAATGACCGCGGAGATGGCACACTACCCATAACAAAGCACAGGAATATGACCCAAATGAGCATGGGATGCTTCAATTTATTCCTACTTTCCCTCTCCTTCCTACTCTCTCTCTCTCTCCTGAAAGATGAACCTGAAGTTTTGGAATGCCTCAAGTACAATGCACTGCACGATTGACTTTAGGTCAACTGCCCCACAGAGCATGTACCTCCTTGCTTCACTTCATTTGGTCTAGACAGGTTCATTTAATTCAAAGCCTTATCCCCAAAAATATCACAAGTTAATTCTTAATGTTATAATTATTGGGTGCATTAATCTAAAACCAATTGGTGGAGGGCCTTTAAAGTATATGGATTAAGTTTTGACAAAAAAGATTATTTGTGACAAGACTTAAATATTTTCTCTTCTACTTCTACTAGGGGTGTTCGCGAATCGATTTTGTGCGGTTTACGGTTCGATTTTGATCCGCCCGCATCTATGCGGTTTGGGAAAAAGTCAACCCGCAACCGCCCGCAGTGCGGTTTGCGGTTTGTGTGGATAGGGTTTGCAAATGTACGGGCGGTTTGCGGTTTACACTTTTTTCTTTAAAAATTAATTTGCGATCTTTTTTTCCAGCGAATTTAGGCATCAGATTCATTTTATATATTTGTGATAACAATTTTTTGATGAGTTTACAAATAAAAATTGAATATCAATGCATTAAATGAAAGTATCCAAAACAAAGAGACCCTACACTAGCATTTTTGCCATGAAAAAAATGTATATCAATGCATTAAAGGTTGTACTCAATTAGAATTGCCAGTTCAGTAATCAATAATCAAACTATAAGTTTTATCGACCATTAGAAGGAAAATTTTATTAGGAAAAAGTGGATGAATCACCAATGAAAATCATATAAGAAACCAAGTTTAGGACTTGATAATTCTACGGCATTAAGAAAGTTGAGAAATACTTAAAAATAAGGATCCTAGTGTCATAGAGAATATAATGGTGCTCCTGTAAAAGTTACAAAGTTGGTATATAAAAATAATAATAATAATAATAATCAAAGTGCGGGCGGTTTTTGCGGGTTGCGGGTTTAAACCGCGACCCGCCCGCAACCCGCAAATTTGTCATATTTCAAACCGCATCCGTCCACATTATATTTGCGAAACTGTCCATTTATATGCGGGTTGGGTGGATTGGACGGTTTGAGCGGTTCGAATAAACCGTTGTCCACCCCTAACTTCTACATACAATTTGGTGACATAAAGAATATCCCAGAGTGAAGAGACAAGAAAAAAACAATCGAAAGTAAAAATTTGATTACGAGAGACCAATAAGAACTTATACAAAAAATTATTGAAAACATCCATTCCGAAATCAATTGATAGATAAGAGTATCAATCCAATAGAACATTTGAAAAGAATTTAAGAAGATGGGCCCGCATTGGACCAAAGAAAGGACGGTGGGCCATCAAAATTAATGATATATACATTTTTAATAAGTAAATTTTTAAATTTTAAAAAAAAATTAAGTAAGTTTTATAATTTTACCATAATTATATTGAGTTATGTTGAGATTTTAATTTATATAATATTTTACTCATTTCATCAATAATTTATTAGTTATATCATATAGATGAAAAAAATTATATTACCATCATTTTTACAAAAATATATACTTTACGTTGTTTATTTTTATGTTTTTGTATCATTTATATTAGTTTTGGTCTATTTAAATTTAGTAAAAAGTAGATCAATATAATTATATCATAATTGTGAAATTTACTATACTTTTTTGCAAACTTGAGGGAAAATCAGTGTAATTTATTCTTTTAAGATGTATTTTGCTGATTTAAATATGTGTAGTCAGAAATTCATGTCTCGTTTGGTATGCGAGTGTTTTAGTTTAGAAGTTAAAAAATTATTAAAAAAATCAAAAAACTTATAACAAATACTAAAAAGTTAAATGTTCATTTTTTTTCTCTACTTTTTGCATATCTTTTTCTAAAAAACTAAAAAAGATTCTAAATATACCAATTTTTTTTACCTTTTATTTTAGACAAAAAAATAAAAAAATTATTAAAAAACTTATTCCCAACCTAGGCTTATTCTTTTTCAAAATGGAGAGGAAAAATATGAAACTACCTAGAAAAAACAGCTTCAAAACACAACACATGCAGCAACACATAGGTCCATCAGCAGCTGCGCCCACTAATACAAGCTCACTCTTTTGCGCCTCCATCCCAGCATCAACCATGATAGCTTCTACCTAGATGTCTCTCATTTTATCTTTATCTTTCTAAATTCTCGTGCTCTCTCTATTATTTATTGTATATTTGTACTAAACACTAATATATTTCCATTATCCGTGAAGTTTCTTACGAAAGCTTCATAGGAAACCTCCCCCCACACCCCACCCACCTGTTCATGCACCAAAACACCTATATATACTCTCACTACCTCTCACTCTCTCTCCACTCAATTCAAAAATCTCTCTCTCTCTCTCTCTCTCTCTCTCAAACTTTCACTCTTCCTAGTCTTTATAGTAATATATCGCCAAATGGGTATCTCTCAATTTGCCAAAATGAATTCATTTCTAACTGTTCTTCTAGCTCTTATTCAGCTAAGCTGTTTCAATGTGTGTTTTGGAGCAAGAAAACTTACTTCTCTTTACCAACCACCACCTATGGCTTTAACATATCACAATGGAGCTTTGCTAGAAGGAGACCTCCATGTAACCATTCTCTGGTATGGGAAATTCTCACCTGCCCAAAAATCCATTGTTGTTGATTTTCTTCTCTCTCTTGACCGACAACAAAAACAAAATGTTGTGTCCTCCGCACCTTCAGTCTCTCAGTGGTGGCAAACCATTGAAACCTACATGAAAAAAGCTGGGAAAAAAGAGACCCATGTAGTCCTAGCTAATCAAGTCACAGATGAGAACTGTTCAATGGGCAAAACCTTACAAAGATCACAACTTTCTGAGTTGGCTCACCGGGTCAACTCAGAACCCGGTGGGCTTGTCCTGATTCTCACAGCTGATGATGTCGGCGTTGAGGGCTTTTGCATGAGTTGCGGATTCCACGGGTCGAACTCTCAAGATAAATTGGTTTTTATCTGGGTCGGTAACTCGGTGACTCAGTGCCCGGGTCAGTGCGCGTGGCCATTTCACCAACCCATTTACGGACCACAAACCGCCCCACTGGGTGCACCCAATGAGGATGTCGGGGTCGACGGCATGGTCGAAAATATTGCCAGTCTTTTGGCCGGAACTGTGACGAACCCATTTGGAAACGGCTACTTCCAAGGCTCGGCTGATGCGCCAGTAGAGGCAGCTTCGGCTTGCCCTGGGGCGTACGGTAAGGGCGCATACCCGGGTTACGCTGGAGAGCTGTTGGTGGATTCAACAACTGGTGCTAGCTATAATGCGCTGGGTGAGAATGGGAGGAAGTATCTTTTGCCTGCCTTGTTTGACCCTAACACTTCTCAGTGTTCAACAATAGTGTGAGTGTCTATTCAAAAAAGACACATTGTATTTTCTCTTGTGGTACTAGTTGTGTACATGTATGTGTGTAATTAATCTAAAAAAGCTCTAATATTAGATTCATATGTAGTGTTAAACCATGTTTGATTTTTACAATTTTTTTTGATTGTTTTTACATGATTGATACTTTTAAAGTTAACAATATTTCACAATTGGGGAAAAAAGACCCAAGCCTTGGAAATGAAATAATTTTACTTGTTAAGAAACATTAGACTTCATTACTAAAAGATACTGATAATACATGATCATGAAGTACGAGTTTTCAAAAAATTCGTTGGTTAAAATAGTCCTGAAAATTTTTATTCATTAATATATTTTCTAAGTGTTTTTTATTATTTTTTTTTCAACTTTTGTATTCCTAAATTTACCGAGTACTTAAAGGCTCTATTTGGTTCTTGAATTTAGGTAGGAATTTAAAAATGGAAAGAAAAATAGTGTATAAAATGTAGTTATATTTTATTTATATTTTACTTATTTTTTTTTTCCCTTTGCAAATTCCTTCCTAAATTCATAAACCAATACCACAGTGTAAAAGTGGATTACATAAGTCTATTTGTTAGCTCCTTGATCTTGTTCACTATTATTAGAGCGTTGGGTGCCTCTATTTAAACACAACTTTTCATCTCAAGACACACCATTAATTAGTTTATTTTTTATTATAATATTAACTTAATGCAAAATGACCACAAACGACTATACCTTTCATCCATGAACCCTAACCTAACCTATTGACCCCACCACCACTAGCCAACCATCACCGATTGGCCAACAACCACACTTTACCACCACCACCGCGACCGCCGCCACCTCTCCTCACCGTCACTACTCTGTTCCCCTCTCTTCACAACCAGCACCATCGCAGCTCCTTCGACGACCTCCACATTATTGACCCACGATCTTTCTTTTTCTTCTTCTAGCACGACTGCTGGTTGTGGGTAGGGTTAGGGTTGAACAAGAATGAGAAATGAAGAACGGTTACAGTAGTGCGCCGACGGCAAGGTTTGTACGTAGCGGCTGTTGGCGAAAACGAAGGTTTGCAGCGGTGTGTTAGTGGCAAATTTTGTAGCAACTGTCAGTAACAGAGAGGTTTGGATTGTTGTTTCCTTAAACAGTGGTGGTAGGGGCGAAGATAAGGGTTGTGACATGGAGGGGAGATGGGTGGAGGTCGGTCGCTGACTGCCAGCGATGGGCAATGGTTTGGGTTAGGGTTATAGTTAGTTGGAGAAGATCATGGTGGGGTGTGTGAGTAAGGGCAAAGATGAAAGATTGTGGTGTGTATTGAGTAAATTTTTTATTTATCAAATTATTAAAGATGTGTCTTGAGTAGTGGTGTGCTTTAAGATGAAAAGTGGTGTGTAAATAGAGGCACTCTAGAGCATTTGGTGCAATTTTTTTTTATAGCTTATAAGGCAAAGATGAAGTGCTTTATTTTTTATTGTCTAATTATCAGCTTTTTATTTTAAAAAAATACCAAATAAAAGAATGAGAGAAAAAGTGAAATGATTATAGTTTGAATGTGATATTTTGTCTATTAATTTTTTAACCTATTTTATCTTTTTGTGACTAATTTAGTCAAAAAACCAAAAAAGCCCACTTGCCAAACGACGCCTTAGGGTTGGTTTGGGATTGGTTATTTTTTTTTTATTTTTGATTTTTACAAAAAAACATGCACCAAAGTAAAGAGATTGTGACCAGTTGTAGTGATGTTTTAGTCTATTGTCAAACAAGGCCTAAAGTAAGGTAAATTTCATTTTAAATATCAATATCAATATTTTATTATTATGGGGGTGTTTGGGAAGAGGTTTGGCGTAAAATAACACAGTAAAAAACAAAATAGATTAAGATAACTAATAAGACAAAGTTTCATATCTAACACATAATCATTTTATTTTTTCTCTCACAATCATCAAATCAACTATAAAAAATAAAAATAAAAAATACCAAACATAACTATTTTAGCCAAGCTAAAATAGTTAAAAAAATCAAATAGCCAACTTTCCAAACAAGGCCTACATATCACGTGAATTTATTAAAAAACCTCTCTAATAGAAATTATTTATATATTTCTTTTCTATTAAAAAAGAAAAATATTATACGTCATTGATTTTATATTATAATTTTGTATCATGTTTTGATGGATATTTATGATTAATTATTGTTTAAAGATAATTATTGAAGAATTAATCAAAAGAAATTAAGATCTTTCCACTTTTTATTGTTTAAATGACGAGAGAGATATAAGGGCTTGAACAAGTAGGTTTGAATCTGAAAATTTGGCTCTCTTCATCTTCTTCCTTCAGTAACACGTAAAGAGCAAAATTTTTAGATTCAAACTCACATGTTCAAGTCCTTATATCTCTCTCGTTGTAACTTTGTTTGGTCTCATTTTCACGTTTGTTGGATTCACCTTATGGCCTAGTTTTATTCTACCCTTCATACGCCTTATTTCACATCTTTTTGCATGTCGTTGGACCTCCAAAAAGTTGGCCTCTGTCTGTCTCTCTGTCTCTATCTGTCTCTCTGTCTGTCTGTCTGTCTGTCTGTCTCTATTTTCATGCTTCTTCCTTCTTTATTCATTTCCACAATTATTTTCTCTCTTTTCCTTTTCCATCATGGCCCTTCTACCGAGCTCGTGGTGGCCATCGAATCTCTGACGATGGCGGTGCTTCCATCACCACCAGCTTCAAGCTTCAACTCCTCATTTTTTCTTTTCTCATTTTGTTTCTTATTCTCATTATTCTGTTTCTCTTTCTTCTGCGGCCAACCATGGCCATTGTCGTCAGCTATGGCTGTGCTGCCCAGGTGCCACCTTCGGTCTCCCTACAACCATGGCCTGTATATATAGTTAGTGTATATGTCCGAGCCGATCCGATTCGATATGCTGCGGATGGTTTCGAAGACATTCACGGTCGATAATGGATTTAAGCGGCTAGATTTAGTAGTTTCACAGTCGGCAATGGATTGATGAAAGCTGCACCCGTTGAAAATGAACCGATCGAAATATTTTAATATATAAGTATTTTATCTCCAGAATTGTTCATTGATTGGTCTAAATATACAAGAATACTCTAGCTTTATATACATATTTGTTTGTTTCCTTCATATAATATTAAAATAATAGTAGCTTTAAATACATATTTGTTTGTTTCCCTCATATAATATTAAGGCCTTGTTTGGCATGATCTAAAAAAGTCAAAAAGTCAAAACGTCACTATCCTATTTAAGTCACATCTTCTTATTTAAGTCACATCACCTCTCTAACGCATCACTTCAAACCCAACCCATACCCAACCCATATTTTATAAAAAGTTAAAAAGTACACTTATTTAGATCATACCAAACCACTCCTAAAATAGATGAATGCACACGGTCACTTTCTCTCTTTAATGTTTCCCAAAAACCCTTTTAACTCTCTATTTTCATTTCTCTGACTTATGTGTTCCCTAGGAGAACCTTTTTATCTCTCTAATGCTTCACAATTATTTGTTGTTATGTAAACAATGTTAGGATTTGGAAGATTTTAGACAAATCTGGAGTTTTAGTTTAAAATCAAAAGAGGGGTTTTCGAATGAAGGTGTTGAAATTGATTATGGGTATAGATATGAGGATGTGTTGTGTTAAATTTGTTGATTTTGACACATGGGTTGGATTTGGGAGAGATTGAAGTTTTGCCCTAAAATGTCTCAAATAATTATTTTATATAAATAATGAAATTGGTATTGGGTATATGAAATTAGATGAATGTTTATATAGATGATGGAGTTGGATGTGTATTATCTCTCACTTATGGAAATTTAGATAATTTATCTGTCTTAGAGGTTGTATATCTATTTAGAAATATCTATTTTTGACTGTCGGTGAAAGATATCTATGATTGTTGTAAAAATTGCATGAGAATTAGGTGAATTGAAACTAATTTCTTAACTATTGTCATTAAATATGACTGTGTTTTAATACATTATATATGTATGATATTTGGGAGGAGAAAGGGGATGCACTCTATGTTTAAGAGAAGAAAGGGAATAGATTCCATTGAATTAAGTTGACCTGTGTGTCCAGGATGAAAGTCCCGAAAACCACATGTATACATGGGTGCCGATTCCCACGGATAAAATTTTTGTAAAATGACAAATTTGAATGTTTGTGTAATAATTGTATTGGTTAGATAACCACTGAATTATAGCCTCAGTTGGGTTGCCTAGAAAACAATGGATTTAACTCATGAATTAAGATGAAATTGCTTGAGATATGAAATTTGGCATATTATGAACTTGTACCAACACAAATGATTTTATTATAGGCATTGTATATGCATATCATACTTATATCTTTGTTAAAATTTATATATTGTGCTAGATTGTCTCTACTAGGCTTTGGCTCACCCTACCAGGGAAAAACCATTTTTAGGTGATGGTGATATGCCTCCGCCAAAGACTTAGCTTGGGAGGATTGTGGAGCTGAAGGCTCACTTTTGTTTACTTTGTATTTATCTTTTGTACAAGCCTAGGATTTTATTTGTATTAAGCTTATGACTCATTTTGTTGTAACCAAGCATGGTCTTGGAAAGATGTAAGCCATTAGGGCGTATGAATACTTGTTTAGCTTTCATTCTTTATTTCGTCTTGTAACACATGCTGTAGATTCTGAATGAACGATTTATGAATATATATCTGTAGCTCGACTTTTCGTGCTCTTTTCGGATACGACTAGCCCTACAGTTCGGACTCTCATGGTTTTGAATTTGATCTCATAAGTGCAATGTGAAATAGATAAACATAAAAGAGTCCAAATCCGGCAAATCTTTTAGAAAATTGATTTTGAGTCAAAATGCCAAAATTGGACTGTTTTGCCAGATACAGAGTTGCTACCTAAATGTTTTATTTTGAAAAATTTAGGAAACCTGGAACTCGTGCCAAATGCCACTTATCCGTCATCACTAAAGTGTCTCAACTCGGGAACTTAGGCACGAGGGGGGAAGGTCATGAATTGAGCATCCCCACTCACCCGATCAAAGATCGACCTCTACTACTCATGACATAATTCTTATTTACATTATATGCTCTTGTTCTGATTATTAAAC